CGTGGGGGTGCTGAGGACAAAAGGAGAGTCCCCGAGATAGGACAGACTCTTCTGCTGGGTTGAGTGTGTAGCTGGATAAATTGACGATATTGCTGGGTGAGTTAGGGGTACCCCTGTTGTGGCCCCATGTGGCAGGAAGGATTTTAGACAGCTTACGATCCTTTTTCCTTTGTAGAGAGGTGAAGTGTGTAATGTAGATCTCTTGTCTTATTTTAGTAAAGTCCATTTGTGTGGAGGGTTGGTTATTTATGAAAGTCTCCAGGAGTAGGTGCATGGGAGTGAGCTCTTTGAGCTAAAGGAGAATGAGTTGAGCTCCCCCTAAAGGCACAGCAGTGTGTCTAGGAGCTGCTCTCTATACTGCTAACAGCAGAAATGCTGCAGCCTTGTCAAAACTAATTTCCTCTGTACCAGTAAGCCTTAGCAAGGCTGTTGCAAACACCAGGCACACTCGTCACATTAGATAGTCCATGTTACAGATATTTATATAGCACTTTCATGTTCTCAATATAACCTTTTTTTTTTCTCTTCACAAAACTAGGGACAGCGTATTTGTCTTGCATTGGAAGCTGCTGTTTTGGAAGAAGAAAAGAGAAGTGAAAGTGTTCCCTTTTTTCCAATAATTGTTGGAAGGTAAAAGTTTATTTTAAAATGTAGCAAAACTAGGTATGTAAACATTTAAATATCTCTGGATTAATAGACTCTCCTTCATTGGTATAAAATACAATTAGACTGCATGCAGGTGAGTTAAAGAAATCTAGATCAAAAGATAGCAAACACATATGAAATCTGCAGTTATTCAATGAATGGTGCTATAAAGTGCTTCATAAATACAGCCCAATTTTACAGATAGGACAGTAGAGCAACAGAGGTTAAGTAACTTGTCTGAAGCCACACGTTCAATTGCAATTAAGAGAAGCCAGGTTTCCTGATTAAGTCCGCTGCACTTCATGCAATTATCCCCAGTAAGAAGATTCACGAAGACCTTTATTCTTGTGCTATTTTTAATTTCCAGGAAGCCAGGCAACACTGAATCTCCGAAGGCTTTGGCACCTCCCTCTACTTTAGTGGATGTAAACTGCGCAGCGAGAGATGCTACCTCAGTGGATAGAAATATAGCTGTGAGCTCTACTCCTTGTCATGTTCCCAGCATAAAACCTTCTGTAAGTAAACAAGTATGTAGACTTGAGGATTGCTGTCTAGTTAGAATTCAAATACACAATAATTACATTCAAATACAAAGGTAAATTTTTATGGATTTAACTTGTGTACCTACCAGATTTGATTACAAATATGGTTAGATTAAAATGTTTTATGACACAAATTGACAAGCAAAGAAATTGTAACTTGATATTCAATTCATTTCTTTTGTCTAGGTTTTGTAGGAATCTGAAAGACATGTCATGCAGTACCTAACCGCAGTAGAGCACAATTTGATACACTCTCTTCTGTTTATGAAGTAGAGAATCACTGCAGTTGTGACAGTCGGAGACTCTAGTTAAGGGGAAATAGGCTTAAGTAGAAGGGGGAATCTGTTCTCTCAAAGTACTTGCATAGTATAAAAGAGGTCCTGTTACCAGTCCTTTAGTTCAGAGGATGAAAAATATAGTGAAAAGTATCAATTGTTGGTTTGTAATCCATGCATGCTGTAGAGTAATTAAAGTGGTCAGATGACTTACATAGGAGACTAAATATTTTAACCAGGAATAAAGGAGCATAAACATCTAAGGTTTTTATTGCTAAAACTAAGTGATCATGGTCTCATCATTAGTAAGGACAACAGTGTTGTGTATTTCTATGTTCTATTTTTAGATATCCTATGAAGGCTCTGTGTTCACCACTACCATTCCTGAAACAACCTGCTCCTCCAATCAGCAAAAGGAGTGTAGTCCAAATTCAGCCCAGCTTTTAAAATCTGTATTTGTGAAAAATGTTGGTTGGGCTTCTCAGGTGAGTAGTGACTTGCTGATAAAGTAGACAAGTCCAGGTTTTTTGGACTTTAATTATGTTTTTTTTTTAACTAGAAGAAATGATTAATTTTGAAAATGTATTTAGGCTTCACTTGCAAGCAGGGAGTACACAGTAAGTTTCATTAAACTGCAGTTTTGGTCACTTTTTGAAGTGGTTGGAAAGTACAGGATAGGGCAATAAGATGATGGAGGGGGGAGGCTCAATATGAATGAGGAAATTGGGAACTAGCCTTGAGAGAAGACCTGAGTGGAGTAGTTCAGCTAACCAGTACTACTTATTGAAGTTCAGATTAACTATCTATTTGAGACGATGGAAAAGACCAGAACTAGTGGAGAGATATAACTCTAAAAGGTTAGTATTAGTTGACTCATCCACCTGTTGGAGAGGTCATTCTGTATATACCACTCTAGAAGAGTCTTTCTGTTATAACATCTACATGAAGAGAGAATTAACATAACTCTCCAACAAGTGGATGAGTCAACTATGAGTTAAACTAAAGGGCTATTGGTCACTTTTGTACTTGTCATTAGTTGGGTACTATTTTGGAGGAGGAATTAGGAGGGAATTTTCTATGCATTGTTGGATATGTGGTTTCTTTATGGTCTTTGTGCCAGATAAGGGGGAAAAAAGTTGAAGTTTACAAAACAGCATAATCCAGACATGAATTTATGACCTGCTTCTGGTCCTAAATGAGTCTGTAAATTTGTGTAGTAATTTGTCTAATTATACCACATACTGTAGAACCAATAGCCATATAAACTAACCTTGTATTAGTTTTTGTACAAATTTTATTGCACAATTCTTAGCTAAATCGTGCTACTAAACTTAAGAGTAAAATTTCCACAAGTGCCAGAGTCCTATTTTTCAAATCTGCCTAAAAATCCCTTTGAAAGACAATGAGGCTTGGGCTCCTAGGTGACTTTGGCATTTTTGAAAATTTTACCATAAACTTCTTAAAATAGATAGTTCTGTATGCAACTTTAATTATTTGAAATTTTCAAGCTGTAATAACTTTGGACCCATCTCTTGTCAGTTGACTAGTGGAGCAGTGTGGGTTCAGTTCAATGATGGATCCCAGTTGGTAGCACAAGCAGGTGTCTCTTCTATCACTTACACATCTCCAAATGGCCAAACAACTAGGTGAGTCTTAATTCTATAAGCACATACATTACATTCAAACTAAATGGAAATACAAAATAAACTTTGCAGTTGATATCTAATGTTGACCTTTCACAGTTACTATTTTTTAACTCCTACAAATGTTTACTTTGATTAGCACGTTATGGAAATTAAAACCATCTCTTTACTATAATTTCATCATATGGAAACCCAAATGGTCTATATGTGTAGTAGTATGTCCATAGAATGTAGATAAAAACTTTACTAGTGTTATAGCATTAAAAAACAACAACCCCAGAACCCAGATATGTGTAACTTCGTATGTGTTTTGGCAATCAAATAAGTGTAGGAATAGCAAAGCACATAGTAAAATTTATCCTCGATCAGCCCTGGATAAGATGGGAATGGGTTCTGTCCATATCTCTTCAGTATGAGATTATTTTATTTATATTGCTTGCTCGGTGACTAGAGGAAGCCTTAATGAAAAGAACTATATCAATTTTTCTGAAAACATGTCCACAATTTACAAGTTGAGGGAATGCCCTAGTAAATAGCTAAGCTACATCAAGTGTATAGACCTGATGACCTCAGCCCAAACAGTAGATGACCTTTGAACACAGTAGATGTTCTATTTTGAGTCTCAAGTGACTATGGCAAATAAGTTTTATTGCTGTTCAATTAATAAAATTGGGAATTTCACACAATTGAGTGTACAATAAGATATCCATTTGGATACTAGATTTGCAGTTAGCTGCTCAACTTTTCTCTTGTTTTTAATCAAGTTGTTATATAATCTATACAATCCTGAACACAACAATTCTGCAAGTAAAAAAAATTAGACAAATTCACTTTAGGTGCTCAAGACATCCAAATACATATTTAGACAAATCAGTAAGTGACTTGACTTCAGAGAGGCTGAGCACCCACAACTCCTGACATTAAGGATCCATAGATTCCTAACTTTAGGCACCCAAATTTGAACATGTCTTTACTCTTTAGTATCTTAATCTGCTGAAATCATATATGGATATTCTGGGCATAGAAATTGCTTCTACTACTTACTTGTGTAACTTCCTCCACTTGCTAGGTATGGAGACAATGAGAAATTACCAGAATACATCAAAGAGAAGTTGCATTGTCTGTCTTCAATTCTTGTGATGTTTACCAATCCAGCTGGCCCCCCGCTGACATTGGGCTAGAAGGCTTAATAAATAACTTGCTGGCATTCAAGTAAAATGACTGATTTACTCAGCTTACCAGAAACTCTTATAGTTCAGAAATTCTACTCAGTGATGTCTGCTAAACAGCAGGAAGGAAAGTGTTGCTATTACATCTAGCCAGTCATTTGTGAAACACATCTTACAAATGTGTAATACTTTCCTCAGAGGACACAAAGTTGTTCTACATAATAGATTCTGGGCAATCTCTGAGACTAACTGATTCTTCAGGTAAAAATCCCTGAACAATCAATCAGAATTGTACATAGTTTTTTGTGTCCCCTCCCCCCCCCCCCCCCCACTGCTCAGTCAATGCTGGCAATCAAAGAAA